TCCGGCAGTTTCCCCTGGCCTGGGAGCTCGGCGTCCCTGACAAGCAGTCCCCAGCCACATCGACCTGATCAGTGTTTGTTTGTTTTGTCTTGTTGCTTTTCTTCTTTTGTCTCTCCTCTATCCACTCACCCCAACCGGTCGAGGTAGAAGGCCGCCCACCAAGAGCCGGGGTCTGTCGGAGGTTTCTTCTGTTAAAGGGAGTTTTTCCTCCCCACTGTCACCAAGTGCTTGCTCAAGGGGGATTTGTTGGGTTTTCCTTATTAATAATAATAATAATAATAATAGTAAGGTCTAGATCTTACTGTGTAAAGTATCCTGAGATGACCTTTTTGTGATTTGGTGCTATACAAATAAAATTGTATTGAATTGAGTTCATTTGTACAGCACACCACATTCATAACTGGGCCAACTGAATCCAGTGGGAGGAATAAATTTCATTCATGAGACCAAAATCTCACCCATGTACTGGATTGTCCCACATATTGTAAAAGCTTGTCCTCCTCGATTCAGGCAACACAAGAGTCCAAAATCAGACAACCGAAGGTGACCTGAGTAATGGGAAATCACACACTGAAAATGATGTACTTCTGCATACTACCTGTAGACTGTTTATTGTGTACAATGAAGCAGCAAACATGCCTGTTATATTGGAGCCTAGCTTTGTGGCTGGGCGGGCTACTCCGATGTCCAGTGTGTTAGTGGTGCTGCTGCTGAGGCAGCTTGTCTTTGTGGTCTGCTGTCCAGCCTGTGACTGTGTCTCTTTTGTTATTTGTCATTGTGAGTGGGTGACCAAACTAGTCCCTCCACTGAGGATGAATACAGTTGAATAATTCAATCTCATCTAATGACCACAGACTCTTTTTATACTGGCTACAAGTCAAATGTAGAAAAGCACTACCTTGATCACTTAAAAGGATGTTCTCCATCTGGAAAAGAAAAAAACAAACAAACTAGGAATTATTACCATTACAGTCGGGGCTGGATTATTAAATAGACAGGCAGGGAACTCAGACTCTTAGGGGCCCATAATATTCCGTGATGTTTGGGTCTACATAATTTGATTAATTGAAAGTCTGTTAGAAATTTACACCACTGAATATGAACTATGAAGTGTTGTGCATCCTCAGGCTTGTAACCCTGGTCCTGTGGTGAGGCTCAGTCAACATCTAGTTCACCTATGTTGTTTTAATTTACATTGAATTTCTTTGTTGTAAAGTTGTGATTCATCAAATTGTTATTATTTATGTCAAGTAATTACACAGAAAACCTCGGGCAATGAGTTATTCCACCACAGGAGAATTCTAATGCTACACCCAAATGCATTTTTCTTTTATTATTGTTTAGTGCATAAAATGTCAGAAAACAGCATATTAACATATTCACAAGTTCTTCTTGTCTGACCAACGGTTGAAACCCCAAACAGAGAAGCTGGTTTTCGGGAATGTTTAGTATTTTTGCTTAAAATTACATTTATTAGTCCTTTCTCAAAATTGCTGCCAATTAACTGTCCGTCAGTCAACCAATTGATTAATCAACTAATCATTTTAGCTCTAGAAGGATGGTTGATTTCTGCAGGGTGTCTGAGTAAACAATGAAACTGCAATGAGGGCCAATAGTGGCCCAACAACAAATTTTACCCCGGGGTCTCCTATGAGATTAATCTGACTGTGATCAATCATTAGAAATACAAGGTGTAATTTTGTTTTATCTGATTAAATACAGTATATACAAAGGCCATACCTTTACATCTCTATGCATGATCCCCAAGTCATGTAGGAATCCTATAAATAATGTACCAAAGGCACAAATCACAATTGTATTTACTACAAAAGTTCAAGCTGACACTAAAAGCCAATACAATACAGCCTATGTGGTGAACACCAGATTAACAATAACCTAGTGCACTGCCCAGCTCTGCAGCAAAGACCCGAACTTCATCCTCTCCAAACTGGCCCTTCGGTAACCAGTAAGTCTCCTAAGCCGCAGTATTCACACACTGCAGAGGATGAGACGCACACACACGCACACTGCTGAATTAATGCAGATAAGTATAGTCTAAAATCAAATATCAGAAATGGGTAAACCTCAAAAATAAAATAAAAAAGAAAAAGACTGTCTCACTGTTGCTGGGCAAAGAAGAAGTAAGGAACGAGACTGAAGTCAAAAATACACAGGCTTTTGTTTTGCTGCTCTCCTGCTAGCTGTTAGTTTCAAAGCACTTGGCAAACCTCCTTGAAATCTCAATAATCTCAACAAAAAAACTCAAACCCTAATAATGGGTAGATATTCACAGTAAAGTACTGGAAAGTGGCAGCCAGACTATGTGAGCTGTACCCATCACTCTCCTCAGATGGCAGTCTGAGATTTGTAATCAAACTCCATGTGCAGCATTTAGACAATATAACGTTACTACTGTGAAACCAGGTGGGGTAGTGTCTCTGAAACACTAAAGGACAAGGATGCTAGAGGAGAGGGTCTAACTGTGCCATCATTCATATTTATTAACTCACTAATGAAGAGATGGTGCTGTGTCTGCTAGCAGTCCTGCAGATTGTGGATAAATGGGTGTTTTGGGAAGGAAGGTCATTGTGCAAAGTAATCGATACGCTGGCTCTATTTTTTTAAAAGACCCATTCGAGGACAGTGAGCTGTGGGACATCGCAGACACCTCACATCAACACTTGACTGCATTTAAGACACTGAAAATCGGCAAGAGTTCTCCATCATCAAGTTTCTTTTGTGTACAAACTTTGGTATAAAGCGCCACATTTAACATACATGGCCGATATTCACTGACACTTCTCTTGTATTTCGCATCTTTCAGCGATGTGTCAACAGCTCTCAACCTGCTTTACTCACCTTGCTGCACCGCTCATCGCATCACGGACAAGCCAACAAAAGTCATTCACACTAAAATAAGCGTGAAGCAACTCAGCGCCTTAGATCCACATGTTGACAGCCGTTTGCAGCCTGTCTGCACACAGCCGTCCTGGGCCAGCAGCCCGATTCCCTCCAGTTCCTGCTGTCAGATTAATGAGCAATCAACTTCCCGCAACTCACAGACCTGCCCCTTTATTTATAGTCCACACAATAATCCACAGATGCACCAGTGAGAGACAGGACAGTTTCTGACAGATAAACAATAAGCGCTAACAGTAGTGTGAATGCCTCTGCTTTTGTGATATTGATCCGTTTAAGTGAAATGTTCAGGGAATGTTTCTTCCTTCTTTACAGAAATGTGATGGAACAAGCTTCAGCAGCATGGTTACACAGGTCATTTAACAGAAACAACCATGGTTACAAAACTATCAAAATACAAAGTGCCTTTGTGTTAAAATGACAAAACATACACTCAGCAAATAGCTGCGACGTATTTGCCCACAACACGATCAAAGTGAGGGCTGGCTTACACATGAAAATGTTTTTGCTGCTCTGTTAGTGGTATTGCACTGAGGTGAGGTACAGTAAACAGCTAAAGGACACAGGCGCTCATTTACAGGTGAAATATAAAACAGCATCTTTTATGGGAGAAGGCCTTCCTGTCACAGCGACAGTCATACAGCCATGTACAAAATCATACAAAATGTTTACAGCTGACAGCACTGAAGCTTCAACTAAGTCCTGTTTGTTCTAGCAGACAGTGTTCCTGAGCCAGCAGGAAACGGCAGACAAGACAGTAACAGTGAAGTACAGGCTCCAAACTGGACATCTTCATGGCTACGTTCAGTGCAGCCTAAGTGGTCATCATTTTCCAAGTTGCAGAGTGGATGAAATGAAGAGTGAAACTTCAGTGGCACACACATAAACAATGTTTGGTCAGACTGACACTCTGCTGATCCTGGAGCAGTGGGAACTCACTGCAGGGTCTGAGCAGAAATTCACATCTGAGACACATCAAGAGACAAAAACAAACACTCCAGAACGTTCCTTTAATTTCAGCAGGCTCATACTGTGATATAGAAAGGCATTCCACAGAACAACCTGAAAGGCTCCACCATCTCCACCTGTTCAGAGGGAGTGTTTCTGCTGCTGGAGCAGATGGTCCAATCGAGCTCAGCTTCAAAGTGAATGTGTGCGTTTGTAGTTTCACTTGCGCCGACTGAAGATGCTCTTCTTGCTGGATGTCTTGTCTGCAGTGCTGAGGCCGATGAGGAGCCGCGCCTTCTCGTCCTCCTCCTGCTGCAGACTGTTGTCTGACTTTGCTTCAGACACCTTCCCCCGCATCTCTGAGCCTGAAGCTGGCTTCAGACGTAGCTTCTCTTTTATCACCTATGCAACAAGAAGCACAGAGGACAACAAGCTCATAAAGAGAAAACGCTTCAATGTCAGTGCAGATATATGTATTTTCTGCTTCCAGCCATTCTTGGTAATGGCAAATAAATCCAAACAACTGAAAGAACAGTCCGCAATGAGTTAATACATTTACACTGCAGAAACTATCAATAGATTGATGTCTAAGGCTCATGTCTTCTTTGCCTTAAATGACAGCTTACCTTTTTTTTTTAAAAACTAGTGAAATGTTAATAAGAAAAAACCAAGTCAAACTGCAAGTACCTGTGCTACAAGTGCTTTCCTGCTGTCCCTTTTCACAGCCATAGCGAAATCGAGCCACGTCCACGTGTTGTTATGGTATTCCAAACAGGGGAGAACCAGGTTCAGGTCCTTCCAGTCAACACTGCTCTTTTCTCCCTGAAGAAGATGGATAAAACACAAGATTCATGAAATCTCTGAATGAAAAAAGAAATGTGCTTTACTTAGATAAAAATGGAATCAAACCTACAACAAATGATTTTTACTGGGTCATCCAAGATGTGAACATCTTCTGTCTAACTTGCTAGTAAACATTACTTATTTACACATCCAGCAGTTACAGTGCATCAGGTTTCATGTGAAGTCATGTCTCTGGCCATCTGATGAATGGACTGTACACTGTGTCTACACAGAGTGAGCAACACCGTGGCAGAGCAGCAGCAGTCTAAGTGTACAAGTATGCTTCAGGTTATATTTACATATGTACAGTGCAACGTGAGTAACATGCAGGTCGTTACACTGCCTGTGTACAGAACTGGATTGAAGAGAAATATAAAGACATCCATTCCATCACATGGGCCTGTTCTGGTCTCCACCAACTCCTGGTGGAAACAGAACTGCTAAATATCCACTGTTCACCAGCTATTAGTTTCTGTCTCTGTCTGATGCTGAGCAGGTCGTGCACAGTCGGGTATAGTTTAGAGCTTTTGTGCCATATTGTCATGAGAGGTGGGAGAGCATCAAAACAGTGATGTTTCTGGGAACAAATAAACAAAGCGGCAAGAAGCTGTGGCCTTGTTATTCACAACAGGAACCTTTATTATGACTGAACGGAGCTGCTCTAAAGTCTTGTTTCTGTGGGTCTCTCTATACAGGCTCATTATCCACAATGAAGAACAGGGAGTGAATGACAAGCAATAGTCTGTGTGGAGCTCAGGAACCCACCTTATAGCTGACACACAGGGGGACTTGGGGAATCTTGATGTAGATGAAAGAGTTGTTCATAGCTGCTCGCTCCTTCATCTTATCAATGTCATCAACAGGGTGCTGGTGGAGAGAATTATACATTATGCTTTATCTTAAGGAAAAAATAACAATAGCCCTTGGTTCTCTCTACTCTTTACATATGTGCTTTGCATTCCCCCAAACCTTAGTGTGTTATCATCTTCCTTCTACTGAGTATTTGCTGTATGATGGACAGGTGAAAACTGGGCATCTCCAAAATGCCAAATTCTTTCGACTTTCTTTTGAGACTATAAGAAACCATTTCAGACTTATGGACCCTTAATGTTTATTTCATTGTACAATAGGTTTATTTCCTCATGTAAACATATCAGGATGCTTAGCCACAGTGAGACCTGATAACTTCTTTTGTTTGTTTTTCTCTCCCTGTAAGAACTGAAAACGTAACCTTTATCATAACACAAACCTACTGGTGTTGCATGAGGTGACCTGGTCTGTCCTGCTCTTTTATTTTGTCCTTTTTGATTCTAAAATAATAAAAATTAAGTTTAATATAGCATTAGCTTTTATTGTTTTAAAATAACCAAAGAAAAGCAAGAATACCTCTGGAGGCTTCCTGAATGACCTCCTGACCCCAGCTGTGCGATTCAGTCCCTGGGCGACACCTTTGCTGGGGCCCATAGCACCCATGGTGTCCTCTGACGGCTGCCGAGGTTTGACAGGAATACCTGTGACACAGACCACATCAGTATCAGCACCGTGGCCTCTGGATAAGTCTGCTGCACCCTACACCTTATACTCCCCATTGAGTCTTACTTTTTGTTGCGCGCGCGCACACACACACACACACACACACACACACACACACACACACACACACACATCTAAAGTTGCTCACTGAACAGAGAGAGCCATAGCACCCATGGTGTCCTCTGACGGCTGCCGAGGTTTGACAGGAATACCTGTGACACAGACCACATCAGTATCAGCACCGTGGCCTCTGGATAAGTCTGCTGCACCCTACACCTTATACTCCCCATTGAGTCTTACTTTTTGTTGCGCGCGCGCACACACACACACACACACACACACACACACACACACACACACACATCTTAAGGTCCTAACTGAACAGACAGAGCCTGCCAATAGCTCAGAGGGATGACACACAACACCGTAATGGGTAATTCAACCCATGCACACGTCTGGCAGAGAAAATAGAAACTATAATTCATTGGTCAGTTGGTATAGACTGCAAGCTGGTGATCACACAGACTGGAGACCAACTGCTTCTCATCTTACTGCTGTCATATCTCCACTGCTGACTAAAACATACCAGTAGTAACCAATCTGAATTTGTCCTCCTCATCAGCAACTTCCTCCTCCTCAACATTTCTTCCTGGGAAGAAAAATCCCATCATTCGTTTGAAGAACTGGTACTTCAGCTGGATAGTGAGTGGCACCACATTCACCTGATAGTAAAGGAAAAAAAACAGTTAAAAGAAAATTAATTTACAATAAAATACAATCTACATGTTTCAAAGTGGCCACATGTGATATGCCTCACCTCAAAGTGTTCCTTCACAGAAATCCCTCCCACAGGAGGGCGCACTTTACTGAAGATCCGCAAAGCAAACTGGCGTCCTGACTGGCAGGTGCTCTGAGGACGAAGTACAACCTATGAAACAAAAGTTAACTTTATTTTACCTTCAGCAACATGATAGCACAAGCAATAGCTCCTGACCTTGTAAAATCCTATATAAAATCTATATAAAATCTGCACAAATAATGAAGTGAGGACAGTATGGAAAACACAGATTTTAAGCACCCATGAAATGAGCCTTTAGTTACACATGCATCAGTGAATCCTTGAGTCTGCACTCAACACTGAATATAAAACTGTGAAGAGCCACTGTGTGATCCCATCTGGACAAACAGGATGAGTTCAACACGGACATCAGGCTTTTCACTGTACATACCCTCAGACGCTGCACAGAGGAGCCAGGCAGAGAGTCAGAATGTGAGTAAACACTGCATTTTAAGCTATGTTAATATACTGCCACACTCAGGGGCACTTTATTAGGTACACCAGTAAAATGTAATGCAATCCATTACAGCAACTGCTGATAATTTCCCTTAGCATAGCTTTGAAAAAGATGTTTGTCATGGGTCCACTGCAAAATGTATACTGTGTTTTAGTAGAGAAATCTATGACTTGCTTCATGTTTGCTGTACAAGTAAGGGAAAAAGAAACAGCTAATTGATATTTTTTGTTTCAGTATTTGAAAATCAAAAATCTAAGCATCCAAATCTGACTAATCTGAGTAATTTACAGTATTTGTATTACTGTACTATACTGTATTTACCTTGTATGCTGCATTGGGCAGCAGGTTGTTCATTGTGAACCACCCTAGCTCCAAAAGATGCTCTGCTGTGTCATCAGACTTGTTCAGCTGTGGGGAGCAAGTATTAGAGAATGGTCACCATTTACCATCCAGCAGTGATCAAGAATACATCTGGATGTATCAGGAATAAGAAACCTTATCATACTGACCAAAGTGCAAATCGTCTAGCTGTCTAAACTCCAGACTGTTGTACGGTAGTTACATGTTGTGCCCACCTTACTGTACATGAACCTCTGCAGCTCCAGCTCAGCTATGCCGAGCTGGCCGTCCTCTTCGGTCAAACACCAGCGGGCCTGGGCAAAGTAGATCTCTGTTCTCCTCACCACACTCACATCCTCTGGTGGCTTACGTAGCTCCAGCTTGTTTGCCCGCTGCAGCTGGAAGTCCTTAAAACATCTAGAAGGAAGATTTTATTTTATTTTTACCTGTGTGCCATATTTTCTCAGTAGGTGTATGAGTGCTGATGTGAGACCTGATGAGAATGTTGAGCTCTTCACTCTTCATCTGCATGTCATTCTTTTCCTGGTTCAGCTGGTTCTGCAGTCTTGTGTTGATCTCCAGCAGTTCACCACTCAGTTCCTCAGATTGTGCCTGCGAGATGATGATGAAATTATTAAAATGTAGATTAAAATGCATGGTGTACTTTAGTGTGCAATACGCACACACACACACAGTATCATATATATGAATATGGTTGCAATAGCAAACATGTAACTGTCTCCTGAAAACATCACAAACCAAGCATTTGCCCCTATCTGATCAGCTCATGTTAACATATCATATTTAGCAAAACAGTCATTATTTCTCCAGATAGGCTGTCAGTTTTAAACAACAATGGTAATTCAGGAAGTGAATTATAGATGGATGAAGCATTATGTGGCTCACCCTGATGTTGGAGTAAATCTGTTTCTCAAGGCGTCTAATCTGAGCCAGGTGCTGCCTGACTGCTTCCTGAAGATGTAAAATGCTGCTGCGTTGCTCCTCAGGGTTACTAGAAATTTCCAGCTGGAAACGCACTCGTAGCTTTTTCTCACTGTGCTCCTGGACATACCAAACAGAGAAAAGAATAGACAGAATAAGCAAAGATGAAACACTGTTAAGGACATGGAACTCTTTTGTAAATTGTGACCGTTAGCCAGTTGATGCTCGAGCCTACCTTGCGTCTGGGCTCCACATGTAACAACAGGTTGTTGACAATATCCAGGATCATAGCGTACTGAACAGGGTTAGTGGATATCTCAAGATCATGATGAATGAGGGTGAAGGTATCCACAGCCCCTGGGAAAATAGCAAACACCATATAAAACTCATGAACAGCATCTTGGTGAAAATTATAATGACATTACTCTCCCATGTAACTATCACAGATTTAGCATCATGAACTTTTTGCAGTCTGAAAAAAATGTGGGCAAACCTGCCCTTTTACAAGAAACCTGATGCACTCTCCCTCAGCAGAGCACAGTTTTAAGATATACTGTATGGTCTCCAGGCATCCAGACATACCAGCCTGTTTTTTCAGCAGGTCCTCTTTCTCAGGGTTATTCCTCATCTCTGGTGGTTTGATCTGTGTGGCCAGCTCTGGGTTGATGTCATGACTGTAACTGATGTAATGCATCCTGCAGCTACAACGTGAAATGATACGTTGAACTTGCTGTGCCTCAGTCACCTGAGCAGGCTGGTTCCAGTCTATATTTATGGAAAAGGAAAACCATTAGTGTAAATAACAGTAATGTCTGAGTCACTTTGCAGGTATATACTGAGGAAAAGAAATGTAGCAAACAGTGTGACGCATACACAACATGTGAAGACAGTGTATTTGTCAACATATAGTACACAGATCAATCATCTGTGTATTCACAGAACAGTTTTCACAGCTGCAGAGCCAGTGTGGTGTTCTGCACTGTGTAGCATCAGGTAAGGAAAAAACCACTGGTTTAGGGTAAGTAGTGCCATACCTGTAGTGGTGCTAACCATTCCTCCCACAGCCTGGCCACTCTCCATCAGCTCGAGAACTGAATCCAGGTTACGCTGCCTGTGTTCCTCTATGTTTTTCACCTGACCACAACATGATACAATAAGAAACCAATCATAAGTAAATTTCTATAAAGCTTTGGTTATGGTTTAGTGGACTATTTGGTTTTAGACAGTGTCCATTCTACCATCATTAAAATCCTCATTATGCTATATTTACTCTAAAAGCACAAAGAATCAGTCATTATTTACACTGTCAGGGTGACGCACCAGTTATTTCTCATCCTTTGATCAGTTGTGAACCATTTTGTTAAATTTGAGCAACAGAAACAAAACTCTAAACTGTCAAAAAACAAACTACATATAAAAGTCAGGCAAATTTGTGCTTGTTAAAAGACAAGTCATGGAATATCCAGACCAGGGTTCTTCACCAACCATTTTCACAATCCTCCCAGATTTGTCCCAACATTCAATCAAAGTCGTTCCGAACTGAACGTGGATCATCCCAAATTCAGTCTTTGGTTTTCTACATTATTACTCTTTATTATCTATTACTGTTTTCTATCATTATTATAAAATAATTCAGAGACCTTTAAGATAAAACAGATTAGATAGATGATCAACCATCAAAGTTTTAAAAAGTCTGATGGCTCATATTTGCTTGAGCTTGAGGCATTCGAAGCAATAGAAAAGTACGAGTTTTACTATACTGTGTATAGCCTATAATGGACTTGCATGGATTTACAGAAAATACATGCTGCCTCAATTTTACGTAAATCAGTAGAACATTGGTAACATTACTTTATTCATTCATTAATTAGTACTTTGTACCTATTTCCTGCTAAGCTTAAAGAACAAGACTCATAACATGTGATAGGTTTGCCAATGAATGCCTGTGTTTTCACTGTCTTTTGTTTCCCCTTCAAAAACCTCATATTGGGAATCATGAGACAGTTTTACAGCAACAGACACACCCATAACCATAGTATCTCTCTCACTCTCCTTTCTGCACAGGAAATGAGAAGAGAGGAGAGATGCTGTGGGCCGTCGTGGATGTATACGTGCTCAGTGCCCTCTTTTTGCTCCACCACATCAGTTCTGAAGTTGTTTTTCTCTGCATAAGAAAATGGACGTGTAGCACGAGGGTTGGCAGCCCTGCGTTACAAACAGTGAGAAACTGTGGACAGAGTTGGCGGCCGCTAGTTTCGGTTGCTGTTGAACATAAACCGGTACACAGAGTGCCTGCTGGCTTGCAACTGAGACTTACTTGCTGTCCAACATTAGCTGAATTGTCTTGGAATACAACGTTAATGTTTTTCTATAGATGAAAAATGCTAATAATGTTAATGGTCAGCTCACTGTAAAAAGCGTTGACTGCATCAAACAGTCCGGCATTAACTGCTAATGTCAACATTAATGCTAGCAAGCCTTATTTGGTTGGGCTGAATTCTCCGTTTCAGCTATGGCTGATGTGAGGGCAGGATCTGGCCCTGCTGTGCGTTTTCTGAAGCACGGTAATGTTTGGTGCATTGTATGTGTGTGTATTAAGGAAGTTCAATAAGAACTGTATGCTACACAAAACGTGCAGTCAGTTTTATATGCACTGTTATTCACTGTAATGTTAACAGCACTTTTTCCACCTTTGGTCCCAAAATTGATTTGCCTAGTCCTCGATCCTATTATTTATTTGGCCCTGGGACAACAGGACATAATTAAAATTGAGCACTGCAGAACTGTAAAACAGCCTGACATGACCAGGTGAGAGCTGGGCCTACCTCCAGCCACAGCTGCTTGTCCTCCTGCTCAGATGGTTGGGGCTCCATGGTTGCAAAGTACTGCATGCCATCCAGCAGGCAGGTCCAGGTAGTTTTCTGCTTCAGGGTGTCACTGTACCAGGCAGGGTGGTGCTCACACTGTAGCAGCTGTGCTTTTGCCGCAGACACCAACACACAGCCTGCAGTCTCTGTGCCACGCAACATCATCTGGGTAAAACAAAATAGAAAAGGGTTTAAAAAAAATTGCACCAATCAGATAACTCACCTTCATTCATTAAAGCAGGTTTGGGACAAAAACTGTCAAAGACAAACATTTAACTCAGGACTATGGAGAAAGAACTGGATGCTGGTGACATAACAGTAGATTTTTCTATTTTACTATTATTTTTCTACTATCAATGTTAGATCCCTACCTGACAGTTGACCAACTCGATAAACCAGTTGCGGTTATAAACATCATCGGTCTGACATGCTGCAATACCACACAGCTGGTCACTGACACCAGAGTCCTCCTCTGAAAACACCACAAACTTGTCTGTTTCCTCAATCAGTTTCTGGAGCATTGACGTTCCTAAAGGACGAGATAGGAAAGCAAGACATTAGTGGATCTTAAAAGACTGAGCTGTTTTTTCTTAGTCAAGCATTATCCTTACCTTCATTTTGACTTTTTTCTACTCGGTTGACAGCAGGCGTAACTAGTGTGGTAGGCGCTGTGGTGGGGGAGTAGATGGAAGGAGAGCGTTTGATCTTCTTGGTCTGCGGCTGTGTGTCAATCCTCAGACCCTTCAAAGCTTCAGTGGAGAGGTTTCTCTTCAGCACTGCTGCCTTTTTGTAACCGTCGTACAGCCCAAACGCTATGTTCCTGTTAGTCGTGGTCCAGGAAGCACGCAGGTCCACCAGGTGTAGTTTGTGAGCGTAAGAAGCATTAGTCTCATCCTTTGGGTTCACCTCCTGTCAAAAATATTTTAAAGAATCTCAATTATGAACTCTTCAAGAATGAGGAACAGGTTTGGACTCCAGCAGCTCTGGGCTTTTACCTCTTCCATGCGGATGCTGTGGCGCTGGTAGCTCAGGGAGGACAGGCTGAGCAGGTGAGTCTTATTCACCTGAGCATTCATCTGGTGGTCAGTCGTCTCATCCCATGTAGAGGCCATTAGGTGCACCGTCACCTGAGAAAGCTCACTAACCATCTGAGTCACATTCCATTCAGAGATTAGCCTCCTCATCACAGTGCCAGCTGAGAGACCACATAAACAGATACATGTGCATCCCATTAACAATATACAATCCACTTTATGTTCTTTTGGGAGACTAAATGAATCCATCTGTGTGTATGAATATTTCTTTTCTTGAATAGTATTGTGCTAATGCCTGTACCCTGTGGAATAAGTCTTTGTGACCCTCGAGTGAAGACATGGCCTTTGTGGCACTCCACTTGGATACCTCTCTGCTGAGCAAAAGAAGCCCAGTAATGCACCTGAAAGACAAACAATATGTAGCAATGTACACCAATGGTAGACAAAGAAATCAGGGGAAACATTAATTAAATGATCCATTAGAACAAAGGCATATACTTTTCTGTGAAAGGGACTGCAAATGTAGATTTCATGACAAAAAACGTGAGGCAGATTTTTAGTGGACTATCGCTACAAGGCAGCTTAGCAGACACATACCTGTAGTTGTGGGAAGGCAGCAGTGTAGGACATCTGTTTGTAGTGCTGACCCAGCTTCTTGCGGACCGGCTTGAGGCTGTGGAAGAGCTTGCCTCTGCAAATCGGTCGAGATACACTCGTCCAGGTAGCCCAGAAGTTCTGCATCCAGCGCAGAGTGCTGCTGTACAGAAGGATTCTGGGCTGGGATAGTTCTACAAGGAAAATGTAAGAAAAAGTGATGACGTGCTTAGTGAATACCTCAGGCAGCAGAAACCAGAGGAACAAGGGAAAGAAGAGCAGGAACCCTCATGGAAGGACAAACCCCTGCACGGTATGTACCACCATCAGATATCGAAAAATCCTACCAGTGGCTGGACAAAGCTGGACTGAATGACAGCACAGAGGCACTAATCCCGGCAGCACATGAACAAGCTCTAAGTACAAGATCAATAGAGGCCGGGGTCTACCATACCAGGTAGGACCTCAGGTGCAGGCTGTGCAAAGATGTCCCTCAGACAATCCAGCACATAACAGTGGGGTGCAAGATGCTAGCAGGCAGGGCATACATGGAACGCCATAACCAAGTGGCTGGCATAGTGTACAGAAACATCTGTGCTGAGTACAGGCTGGAAGTCCCAAAGTCAAAATGGGATACACCTCCAAAGGTGGTTGAGAATGACCAAGCTAAGATCCTGTGGGACTTC